GAATCATGCAAAGACTTCTGTCAATCGATACAATTCAAAGTAAATAGAATTGGAAAAAAAAATAAAAGAAACAACAAGAAAACAACTGAAACCGAATGCTGCCAACTCGTACTGAGTAAGCTTGGCTTCAAGAAAGAGACATGAGAAGGCAACTAACTCCTTGTACTTTTTGTATCATAAGTAGGGAACCATGGATGGGAAACACCGTATATGACATCCCACTTTTTCAACATGTAGATTATTTCCTTTCTTATTATAAGGGACATTTTAATCAATTTGTTTACATAATTCCAAATTGTAGCCTCCTCTGGAAGGAAGTTGGAGGTTATGCAATGAGAAATGTAGGTAATATAAAAAGAAAAACTATAAAAAACATTTAAAAAAAATAAATGTTTATCAAAAACTTTTGGAAGTGATTGTTGAAAACAAAAAATAAATAAACAAAAAAAACCCCCAAAAATAAATGCACAATTATTAGGCATTTATTAAGTTCCTACTATGTGCTAAGAACTTTAAATATGTAATAAAGCATTTTGTAAATTAAAAGAAAATGTTTTTCATAAACCTGGAAAAATGTTTAATGGTTAACTTCCTATAATAGATCATACACATATAGATATATAATACATATATTTCAAAAGTGTTTTCAGATTTGCAAAATATTTTACATAGCATCCCATTTGATCCCTACAACACTCCTGTGAGGTAGGTGCTATTACTATCCCCTCTTTACAGAGGAGGAAATTGAGGAAGGCAGAGAGGTTAAGTGACTAGTCCAGGACTACATAGTTCAGAAGTATCTGAGATAAGATTTGAACTCAGTTGTCCTCAACTAGAGTCCACTGCTTCATCCACTATTTAAAGCTGTTTCCTGATATATAGATATCTAGGTATAACCCATGGCCCCAAATTCCTGAGCTCTGATTTTTACCAGACTGGGTTCAGTCTTAAAAAATGGCACTAAAAATATCACTCTTTGGCCAATATCATTCCCATCCAGAGTTTACTCTTAGAATATAATATAACTCATGTCTAAACCTCCTCAGATATAGGGGAAAGGGTCCCCCAGATCCCATAGAAGAGCTAAAGGAAATAATACAAATATCAGATACAGATGGCCTTTATTTTAGCCACAAAAATTGTTTTTAAAAATGCAGAGGACTCATAGGAGCCTGTAACAAAATGCAGAAAACATATAAAGGAAGTCACAATAGCCCATAAGCAAGCAATACAATATTCCCACCTCCCTGCTAAGCCCTTTTCCCCAGTATCATAAGGTCCTCCAGGCTCAGTGCCACTATGAGGGTAGAATTTCTCTCAGAGGGGAAATACGTGTGTGTGTGTGTGTGTGTGTGCCGATACATGCTAGTATGTATACTGGTATACTGCTAAATTAGTAATACTTACCAAAACGCTTGTAAAATAAAATACACACATACTGGTACATTGCTGGGGAAGGATGTATATTAGCATATGTACATATATTCTTTATGTGGGTGTATAGATATGTGCATATGTATGTATACGTTTACATTGAGTTTGCACACAAATTGAGTTTGTAAGCCACATTTGATCTATAATTCACATACACTTAGATAATTGATTAGGGAGTGAGCCTAATACTGACCAGTCTTAGCTGCTGGTTCAAATTTAGTCCTCAGGTAGGACTCCACTTTTTCCTCATATCCTACACTTTTATGTTAAGCAAGTAGTGTTACTAAATTTGGGGAAAATCAAAGTTCAATCTTTCTTGTAAGCAACTCAATTACTATCTATGGAGACATCAAAGGCTAGTGGATAAAGCACTGGACTTTGTAGGCTGCAAGACCCAAGTTATGGCAGATGACATGCTAGGTCACTTCATTTCTTGGTGCTGTGTGCTTCCCTAGAATTTATATACCAGGTAACAGATTGTGATCTGTCTAAGCAGCAGGAATTGCACATCCATTGTGTATCCTCATAACGATTACCCAAAAAATGGGGGAAAATACATAGGAAAAAATGAAGCTTCAGATGAACTGAAGTATGGATCTGACTTCTTAGAAATATATTTGTTGAGTACCAAGATGTTGTTTATTAAAACATTAAGTGAAAGATCTAATTATTTTTCTCAAACCATAGAAAGGAAGACATGACACAGTCTTAAGCATATAAAAGAGTAGAGTTACATCTAGTTCTTTGATTTCTTGTCCTCCATGAACATATATACTGAGTTGACAGTCATCAGAATAAATTTTATTTTAAATATGTCAATAGTCATAAAAATTGACTCTTAAATTTGTGAAGATAACAAAATATGATAATAGTCAATATTGGAAAGATTGTGGGAAACAGAAGTATCCTGGTCTCTTGTTGGTAGAACTCTGAGTCAGTACAACTATTTTGTAAAGCAAATTGGAATTATGCA